TGCTGAACTTCTTTTGCTTTCCAGGGTGATGTTTTCAAAACCAGGGGTGGTGGACAGGCTGTGCAGTTCACAGAGGTAGAGACTCTGAAGCAAGAATCTCCAACAGGGTGAGTTGTGGTCCTCGTGGTGAGTTCTGAGGCTGCTGGAGACATCACTCCATGAGTGTGTGTAACCTTCTGGTCCAAACTTCTGCACACAAAGTTGTTGCTTCTCACTTCAAGTCCTATAAAAGTAACTCAGAGGGGCTTGTAGAACCTACAACTGCTTTTAAGCTTGTCATGCTGTGGAGAGTAGGTTTAGAAAGTATAAAACATAAAATATAAAATACATGAGGCTTGGAACTTATTTTTTTAACCCTCCTCTATCCCCCTGCCAGTCGAAAGAGAAGATCATCCCCTTGCAACCCTGACCCCCCTGAGGAGGCTGCAGACTCTGAATGGACTGATGTAGAAACCAGAGTAAGCTAAAAAATGAGGGGGGCATCTCTTGCTTGATGTGGATGAGAATTTGGGGTCACACTGATAGCTGGAGGGGGAGGGGTTGCAGCAGAGCCTGATTTTTTCTGTGTCTTCTCAGTGTTCTGTGGCAGTGGAGATGAGGGCAGGATCAGCCCTTGGACCTGGATATCAGCATCATGCTCAGCCCAAGTAAGTCCATCTCTCCTTTGTAGCTGGGATATTTGCCTGGGAACATCTACAGTGAGATTGTTTTTCCCTGCCTTGACCCTGCTGCTTTAGTTTTGGGGTAGGTGCCTCCTTAATACTGCAAAACAAACAGGCTTGTTCCTGTTGGACACTGGTGAGAGGTTAGATCTGTAGGAGGCTCTAAGCAGAATTATTGGTTTGTCTTCTGGATAAAACTGGCATTTGGTGCACTGAACAGAAGGTGAAGTTTAATCTTGGGCTATCTTGACTGTAAAAAGCTGGGAGCTGTAGGATGACAGCAGTGGCAAAGCACTAAGATGTTTCTCCTCTTCTCCCTCACCCCTGGCCTTTATCAGATGCTGGTGTAGTAAAATACATCCACTTCTCTATCTTTATGTAAATCTAATTAAAGTTACAAACACGTCAAATATTAGGTTCAGTTTTGGGCCCCTCCCTCCCAGAAGGACCTTGAGGGGCTGGAGCGTGGCCAGAGAAGGGCAACGGAGCTGCTGGGGAAGGGTCTAGAGCCCAAGTGTGGGGAGGAGCAGCTGAGGGAGCTGGGGGTGCTGAGCCTGGAGCAAAGGAGGCTCAGGGGAGACCTTCTGGCTCTGCACAGCTCCTGACAGGAGCCTGGAGCCAGGGGGGGGTCGGGCTCTTCTCCCAAGGAACAAGGGACAGGACGAGAGGAAAGGGCCTCAAGTTGCCCCGGGGCAGGTTGAGGTTGTCCCTGAGGAACAATTTGTTGCCCTGGAGGGTTGCCCAGGGCTGTGCCAGGCTGCCCAGGGCAGTGGTGGAGTCCCCACCCCTGGAGGGGTTTCCAAGCTGTGGAGATGTGGTTACCCTCCTTTGGAGACACCTTCCAGCCTCTCAGTGCCCTTGGAGTGGTGACCCAAAACTGAACTCAGAATAATCCCTGTCCTAGTCCTGCTGGCCACACCAGTGCTGATCCAAAGCCAAGATGCTGGTGGTGCTCTTCCCTTGAGCCCCCACATGGAACAAAACACTCCCCTGAGCAAAGAACTGCTGCTGGGATAATCTGCTCTGAGACACTGAGCTCAACAAGAGTTCACTACCCAGGTTTGGCCTCTTGCAGGTAGGAGCTGGCAGTGCTGTGGAAATCACACTCAGCTCAGGGGAAGAGAATTTGCAGGCTGTCAAGACAGTTTTACAGGCAGGAGAGAGAGAGAGAGAGAGCTGGAGAGGTAAAGAGGCTTCTGTGAAGCCAAGATCAACTACATTGCTGCACTCAGAATCCAAAAAAGGTTAGGACTATGTTGAAAGGCTGTTTTGGAGAGTATCTGAAGTCCCTTGGAGAGAAGGTGATGAATATTTGCCTCTCATACACCTTATGATGTCACTTTTGAGGAGCTGGGACCTGCTGAAGGTGGCTACTGCTCCTTCCAGCCTTGGAACAGCATAGCAAAGCCTTTGGTTTGCCTGAGCCTTGAGCTGGTGCTTGTATTTCTTCATCAAACTTTGGTTTAAGCTTGTGACTGTTTAATAAAAGACAGCAAAACTCAACCTTTATAAGGAAGCTCTTTAGTTTCCTTGGGTTAACTGGAGGAGGACAGGTGAGACTTGCACAGCAGAGCAGCTGGAGGGGCTGTCGAGTGCTCTGTAGATGACTGGGGTGTAAACTCTGAGTTCTTTGTGGCTTTTTTTCTTTTGTAGGAGAAGAAAACCATGACCTGAAGGTGCCAGCACCACCTTGGACTCCTCACTTTGCTGTAATATCTGCTGCCAGGGATATATCTGCCCAAACCCAGCTTTGTTATCACTCCAGGCTGGTATTTGTAACAGCCTGTGCCAGGCAAGGGTTAAATGGGAGATACCTGATTCTCCAGCCCAAAGAACCTTGTGTGGCTATTCCCAGTAGCTTTAGGGGGGGTTCTGCCTTTCCCCCTTCCCTCTCCTGTGTATGAATCCTTGTTATTAAGCTCTATTTTCATAGACTAGTGACAAGAGGCTCTTGCCTTGTAGAGCTTTTTTTCAGCTTTTTCATTTTTTACAGGGCAAAACCCCCATCTCCTGGTCCCTGCCCCTTCCTTGGCAGGTCCTCTGGTTTGGAGGGGCACCAATGCTGCTATCTATTTAAACACAGCAAAGCACTTTACAAGTGTTTCTATGCCATGTCCTCTTTTCTTAGAGCCAGCACCAGCTTGGTAATAGGGATTTCTTCTCAGATGAGCTACCTTTGGATTATTTAACATGCAAATCAGCTTAGGGAAAAGCAGAATGAGAACATTTCAAACCACAGGAAGGAAACAAGAATCCTGATGAGTAGCAGTGGCTGGACATCAGATCTACTTTTATTTTGTAGTGTGAGTAAATCCTATGTTTTACATCTGTAGATATGGGGTTACAAGGGTGATCTGCTCACAGATATGGTGAGAACTTTGTATGCGTGGCTCTGCAAACATGTTAAAATAAATACTTTTATTCAACAGCACTTCCAAACCACAGGTTTGTGACTTAGGCTTGTGCTAAGCTACAGAAACCAAGGTGAGCAACACAACATCCTGGTTGTGCCTTGTGCAAAGGGCTGTGAATGAATCCAGCTTTTGGGGATCCTCCTGAGGTGTACACCAAGGAAAGCCCTGGAAGAGGCTGCCCAGGGCAGTGGTGGAGTCCCCACCCCTGGAGGGGTTTCCAAGCCGTGGAGATGTGGTGTGAGGGACACGGGGCAGTGGGGACCTGGCAGTGCTGGGGGAACAGTTGGACTCCATGACCTGAAAGGTCTCTCCCAACCAGAATGATTCTATGAGTCTGCTTGGATCCCACGATATGGTTTGGATGAGCTTATTTCTGTGTCTGCAGATGGCTTTTGAGGGCACTTAGTTCCATTTTGAGTGGCAGCCTCATTAAGATATTGAAGCTTTGAGCCTTTTCCAACATAAGAAAAGGCTTTTTAACAAAGTGGTTTAAGAGAGCTTCTTTTTCTATAAAGCCTAGGGGAATTTTTACAATCTTTTTCAGGACAAAGGTGACCAATGTTAGTGCCTCTTTGTAGCCCATATAAACCAATTTCCTGTCAGATGGTCCAGGAAAAGGCTGATGTTCTCAGGTCCCACAGGTCTCCTAGTTCCCGAGCTGGAGCAAGTGCTGCTGCAGAGCTTCCAAGACTGTCTTGAGTTCAGAGAAATGACTCTCTGAGAAAGCAGGAGGCAGAGCAGCATTGTTCTGTTGTCTCCAGCACTGCTTGATGGGTTCTGAGCTTTCCACTTGCTCTGGGGACCAAGAAGTCTGGCTTGAAAAAGCTCCAAGCAGAGAGAGCTCTGAGGCAGGTCTGTGTGTG